AGCCGTTTAAAACGCAATTGGAATGTAAATACAATAATTTTAATATATTGGTAACTAAAAGGAGGTGATAAAAGGAGGCTTTTTTCAGTGGCGTCGTAACATTGAACAATCACTAAACGAAACCGTTGTGAGTCAAGGACTACCTGTTAACACAGTTGTTAAGTGAATCCAGCTTCCTTGTTGACTTTGCTCATCAGATGGTCGCAAAAGGGGATCACGGAACACTGTGACCGTTGTAAATACGAGTCACTTGCTAAGCGACTGAATTTTGATCTGTTGGGCATAGTGCAATGGGCATAAGTGTGAAAAACTGTCCTAGGTCAGCAGTTTTTTCTGTTGTAACTTTGATCGGTCACTAAGTGAACTGTTGCAAGTCGAGGACTGGCTGTATTCCTTTTTTGAGGTTGCTTTCCTGGAGGACGGTATATATTTATTGTGGCCCTGCTTTGCCTGTTGATCGTTTGATTCAGGAGTCGGCAACCTGTGGCTCTGGAGCCGCATGTGGCTCTTTCAACTCTCTGCTGTGGATCCCTGTCGCTGCGATGCTGCACCAGGAGGAGACTCTATGGTGGGGGAACTGGACTTCCAGTCGGCTCCAGAATTGAATGGGAGGCTTCTGCTTAGGACCTTTGTGGCTCTTTGAGTGTTTAAGGTTGTCGACCCCTGGTTTGCTGGATGAAAAGGGAGAGATCCAGCTAGTCCTTGACTTACAACCATTCTGTCAGGATTCCAGAAATCGCCCTACTGAAATCATGATTCTCGAGCCAAACTTCAAAAAACTTCATTAGAGGCGAGCAACACACTGGCACTGCCCTGTATGAAACCAACTCTAGCCTACGTCATTTGCAGTCCCCTGGGACCCTGTTTCCCCCCCCCCCCTCTGGGTGTGTCATAAATCAGACTCTCCAATTGAGCATGTTCACGGGCTGGGTGTCATCAATCACGTTCTTCAATTACTTAGGGCCGTTGTTCACACTTAACGCCCGTTTCAGCAGTCCCCAGAATCATGGCTGGTTCATACTTATGACTGTTGCAGTGCCCCGGCGTTGTGTGATCCCCGTTTTGTGACCTTCTGAACAAGCAAACCCACTCCATGGGGAAACTAGATTCAACTTCACCACTTGCCTTCCTAGTTGAACAGTTGTGTTGACTCGCTTAATGGCAAGGAGAAGAAAGGTCGTAAAATGGGGCAAAGCTCAATGTCTTGCTTAGCGGTGGAAATTTGGGGCTCCATTAGGGTCATAAATTGAGGACTAAACTGTATTCTTTTAAAAAGTAAAATGAAGTTGTTTTAAGATCCTCCAATTTCTCTTTGAGTTTGGGAAGGATGAGTTCTGAATGTGAAACAGGAGTATAAAAAGAATCTATGGACAGTAATATAATATTACAATATAATAAAAAATATAATGTAATGTAATATAATGTAATATAATATAATATAATAATATAAGCCATACTAGCAGCATGGGGCCTTGGTACCTCCCTGAATGTTATGGGCTTTCATTCATTCATTCATTCATTCCTGATATGCTGCCTTCACTTTGGCACCATTAACCGAATAAAAAGAGTTGGAAGGGACCTTTAAGGTCTTCTAGTCCAGCCCCCTGCTCATGCAGAACTGTCACTTCAGATGAAGGGTTGTCCAACCTCCTCTTAAATTATCTTCCTGCACTAAGTCTCCCTGGCTGAATGGGGGGCTTGGGGTTGGAAGGAAGGACAGACTTTTCCAGTCGACACGAAAGGATCCTCCCTTGTTGCCTGGGGAAAGAATAAATAAAATAAATATTGTGCTTGCCGTAGGGCGACTCTGCTTGGCTCAGTTTTGCTTGGCAACTGCCCACCCTGCTGTGGCTCTGCTCAGGTGAGAAACAGGGTGGTGACCAGGTAAGGGGCGCGTGGGAGATTTGGCCAGGGGTGTGGGGGAAGAGGATTTCGTTAAGACTTAACATTAGGTACATTATTTCTTTAGAATTAGAATTATTAGAAGTCTTTTATTGGCCAGGTGTGATTGGACACACAAGGAATTTGTCTTGGTGCAAATGCTCTCAGGGTACATAAAAGAAAAGATAACATTCGTCAAGAATCATAAGGCACAAATAATAATAATAATAATAATAATAATAATAATAATAATAAGGGAGGGAGGGAAGAAGGGAGGGTGAGAGGATGGAGGGACGGAGGGAAGAGGGAGGGAGATAGGAAGGAAGGAATAGAAATCTTTATTGGCCAAGTGGGATTGGACACACACGGAATTTGTCTTGGTGCAAATACTTTTCGTATACATAAAAGAAAAGGTACATTCATTAAGAGTCAAGAATCATCAGGTCCAACACTTAATGATAGTCATAGGGTACAATAAGCAATCAAATCATACTAGGAAACAGTCAGTATAAATTGTAAGGATACAAGTGACAAAGTTACAGTCATACAGTCACAAGTGGGAGGGGATGGGTGATAAGGAGCGATGAGAAGATTAATAGTTTGATTGTATCTCTATTGTATCTGCAAATTCCCAGTGGAAAGAATTCCAGTGTATACTCAATAATTTCACCCATTTCCTCTAACCAACTCTGAATTTTGTGCCAGAAACCCTGGGCTTTCCTACAACTCCACTACCTATGATAATTTTCCTGCCCTTACTGTGTTGTCAATCACTTTCTCTCTCTCTCTCCCCCCTCTCCCTTTCCCCCTTTTCCCCCTCCAGTCTTGTATGGCCTGGGTGGTCCTCGCCTGCAGCCATGGGGAAGATGCTATCCAAGATCTTTGGTAACAAGGAGATGCGGATCTTGATGTTGGGCTTGGACGCCGCCGGCAAAACCACCATCCTTTACAAGCTGAAGCTGGGCCAGCCCGTCACCACCATCCCCACCGTGGGGTTCAACGTGGAGACGGTCACCTACAAGAACGTCAAGTTCAACGTGTGGGACGTGGGCGGACAGGACAAGATCCGTCCCCTCTGGAGACACTACTACACCGGTACCCAAGGGTTGATCTTCGTGGTGGACTGCGCCGATCGGGATCGGATCGACGAGGGCCGGCAGGAGCTTCATCGCATTATCAATGACCGCGAGATGAGGGACGCCATCATCCTGGTCTTTGCCAACAAGCAGGACCTGCCGGACGCCATGAAGCCTCACGAAATCCAGGAGAAACTGGGGCTCACGCGCATTCGGGATAGGAATTGGTACGTCCAGCCGTCGTGCGCAACGTCGGGGGAAGGACTCTATGAAGGCTTAATGTGGCTTACCTCTAACTACAAGTCGTAATTGCAGAGCCGGAGAGCTGACTCGACAACAGGGCATGTGCGCCACACCTCCCTAACCGACGAGTTCTTCAAGCTTCCCTTCTCTTCTCGACCCCGCTTTTCTCTTCGACTCTTCCCCCAACTCCTGGCACAGAGGCCTCTCCATCCATGGGGAGAAGATCTGGTTGCTTCGCTCTCTTGGAAGAGGCCTTGATTTCGATGGATGGAAAAAAATGGAGGGGAGGGGATCCTTTGGTCCCCACCTTCATGGATCCATAGCTACCTACCTGCACCCCTTTGGGACATTTGCCCCCTCTCCCAGCCCTCTGAACTCAGGTGTCTTCCGAATGAGTCACGTCTTAAGCCAAAGGGAAGACCCTCGTGAAAGAGAGTTGGCTGGGACCAAGTCCAGGAGCTCTGTGTTGACTTGGGGGGTGGTTTCCCTTCCTCCTCACCCCCGGCCCACCTTTTAAAGGTGCGGGGAAGCTTGGCCCTTCCAAGGAACTTGATTTTGCGCTGCCGTGGCCTCTTGGAAGCCATCTCTTCCCGCCTGGGCGCCTACAAGGTTGGCAGAGAGTCGAGCCACCGAGCTCAGAAAGGTGCTGCGTTGGCAGGCCGAGCTTGGCGGGGATGGGAACTCTTTGTTGGAACAGTTTCCTTCCTCTTGGTGTTGCTTCTTCCAGTATGTCTGCCCGGGAACGCCCTTGTCTCGCGGCTCGCCTCTCTTCTGACCTGTTCCACCTGCTTGGAAGGCGACGAGGACAGGCATGCCTAAGCGCCCGACCAAACCCGTTTGCCCAGGAGGGAGTAGAGTGGAAGCCGCCGTTCTGTGGAGGCTGTCTTGTCCCCAGGATTCCCGGCCTACAGATCTGGCAAGGGTTCCTCCCTGTAAACCCGGGGACGTTCCCAACTCAAGAAGGACCACAACGGGGTGTGTGTGTGTGTGTGTGAGTGTCCGTCACATTCCTCGACCGGCTCCATTTACGAATCCAAACTCTGTTCTTCTGTCGACGATGAGAACCTCCCTCCCGATCTCCCAACCTTCCTGGGGTGGCCATCTTTGGACTACAAAGCCTATAAAGGCCAACCAGTTTCCGCAGTACGACGGGGCTCAAAACCTGGTGAATGGGAGCCAAGGCCCCTCCTTGGAAATTTACCTCTCTTTGCTCATATATGTGTGTGTGTGTGGGGAGGCTATGTATTCACATGCCCTCCAGCTGTGATACGGGACATTAGTTCTTGAGAACAAAATGTGCTTTTATCATTCAGATCCAAGCGGTGGGTATAAATCCTCCTTTTTAAAAAAATAATAATATTGTACTGATATGATTAATGGGGGCCGGGGGGCAGAGATCTCATTTCCAGCACCTTAGATTGTGTGGCCTTCAGTACGGATCAGTGGTTGGTTGGTTGTTTTTTCCAATCGCGGGTGGACTTCAACTCCCAGAATTCCGGGAGGTTCTGGGAATCCTGGGAGTTGAAGTCCACCCATTTTAAAGGCCCCCACGGTTGAGATATACTGGCATAGACCAAAGAGGAGGTGTTCCCCAGGAAGCTCTAAGGATGGTGGGGTGGAGTGGGCATATAAGTCCCCCTCCCTCTGATTTCAACCCTTTTTAAATCCTATTTTTTAAATCCTATTTTCTGGATGGGAAGCAATGGCCAATTTGAAGCGCTAGAACCCATCAGGCTGAATCGATGCTGGGTCCTCCTTGCCTCTCCTTTAAGCAGTTTTTAATTTCTCTTTCCCTTTTTAAAAAAAAAAACCCTTTTTTTTTAAAAAGGGGGGGGGGGGGCTTTATGGGCTCCCAAATTAGTCCACTGAGGAATTGGGGAGCGTCGCAAGTTGTGGAGAATCTCGGTTCCCTCCTCCAATTTTCAAGCATGTCTCGGTGCACGGAAGAGGGCTTGCAACGTTTTTTCAATTCCACCCTTCCATTTCGTCCAGATCTTCTCGTCCCTGGCAATCGTACGATGCATGATTCCCATCCTAATCCTGACCAGCTTGGATTGGGAAGCCTTTGGGGTAGGGCGGAGAGAGAAGCTGGAATGAGAAAGCAGGAAGGAATAATTTCTTTCTTTTTTTTTTCTTCTGCTAGAGAACTGTGGCCGTGCTAGCCCTGGAGGAAGAGGGAGGGGGCAGGAAATTAGGTTGCACTTTCTGCCGGCAGTTTTCCACTGCTGCTTGCACGCTGGGTGTGAACTGGATCAGATGTGACTCAACCGGCTGCTTGCTGGAGCTTTCTCAGTTGAGCTGAGCCAGTGTAAAATGTTCTGTTCAGCCGTCTTCCTGTCTCTCTGCTCTCCGCTGAGCTCCTTCTGGATTTCCAAAAGCCCAGGAATAATATTATACAGTCCCTGCCCCACACAAAAAAAAAAGGGGGAGAGGGAGGCCAGAATAGGGTGATCTAAGCTCCTTCTGGATATATGTATGTATGTGTATATATATATATATATATATGGATCTTTGGTTGTTCGGGTTTTCTCCCGCGTAAGATTCGAAGTACAACCAAAGATCCACATACAAATACCCGTGAGAACCTCAGAAAACAAACATATATGGTATTCAGCTTTGTTTCGGGTATTTTCCCACGTCATTATAGTTGTGCTTTTAAAGTTGTAGGAACGTTTCGGCAGAATCTCATCTGCCATCATCAGGCTTCTGGAGAAAAGAGAAAATACCCGAACAAAGCTGAATACCATACATGTAAGTACCCGCGAAAACTTAAGAAAACATATATATACATATCTATATATAGATTATATAGAGAGATATATAGATATAGATATAAAATTTTAAAAGATTTTAAAAGATTTTTTTTTTTAAATTAAAGTGTTTTAAGAAATTTAACAATGGATTTAAGGGGAAAATTAAAAAAAAACCAGGCAGAAGTTTGATCATCTGGTTCGGGAGGCCATTTTGACTTTTTTGACCTGCAGAGGCTCCTGAAAGCCTGGAATCCTTTCTTCCCCCCCCTCTTTCTCACCGTTTGGAAAGAGAGAGAGAGAGAGAGTGTGTGTGAAGGAGTTCTTTGATCTTGATTTCTTTTCTGGTTGTTTCCTTCCAAAGCTCACAATGGCTCCGAATATTCAGAAATATCTTTTGATTTGGAGAATCTGTAGCAGGTTGTGTTCAAAGTTGTGTGAGCGCAGGCCCTCCAAAATGCATTTTCAGTGTTTCTTTTCCTTGGGGGCTTGAAGATATGGGGGTGACCTTTGACTCCCAGAATTCCTCCCCCCCCCCCAGTCAACATGGCCGGCAGGGGAATTCTGGGAGTTGAAGTTTCACCTAGATCTTCAAGCTGGTTTATATCATCCAGAGCAGAGGTCTCCAAATTTGGCAGCTTTAAGACTTGTGGACTTCAGCTCCCAGAATTCCCCTGCTGGCCATGTTGGGGGAATTCTGGGAGTTGAAGTCCATAAGCCTTAAAGTTGCCAATTTGTGGGGCCCTGATCCAGAGAATTGGTAGGGCAGGACATTCAGCCTGGAGAGATTTCTTGGGGTACAGGAGACCCCATCTACTCCATCCCCTTCTGAATGGGGGGGGGATGTCCCTCCCCAGCTCTCTCTTTCCAGCTTCCTTCCAAAATAAGCTTTCATGCCGTGATGCCGTCTTCCGCAGCTTTCCTACCCAGGTGCATCTCAACATTTTGGAAAGAAAATCTCATTTGGACCTCTGGACATGCATCATGTACGTTGCCTTAAGGCAGGGGTCTTCAAACTTGACAGCTTTAAGACTTGTGGACTTCCACTCCCAGAATTCCTCCTCCAGTCACGTTAGCTGAGGAATTCTGGGAGTGGAAGTCCACAAGTCTTAAACTTGGCCAAGTTTGAAGACCCTTGCCCTAAATCCTATAGAAACCCGAAATCTGTTAAGAACCTGCTAGATCAGGGGTCTCCAAACTTGGCCACTCTTAAGACTGGTGGACTTCAACTCCCAGAATTCCTCCTCCAGTCTTGTTAGCTCAGAATTCTGGGAGTTGAAGTCCACCAGTCTTAAAGTGGCCAACTTTGGAGACCCTTGCCTTAAGACTTCAGGACTACCCTCCCCATCATTCCCCATCTAGCAGTGGGACAGATGGGATCCACAGTCCCACCCACCACTCCTTCCATCTCTCTAGGGTGCCCAGAAAGGTGAGGCTGTGGGGGACGGGATGTCCAGATTTAAAGGAAGGGGCTAGGTCATGCTTTTAATGTGTGTCCCCCTCCCAAACATGGCATGTACCGCCATAATTGGGGTGCGGTCTTTGTCCGAAAACGGGGCTTCCTCCTACCAGTGTCCTTCCTTGGCTGGGAACGCTGGGTCTTGAAGTCCTAATCTGTCTGACAGGTTGGGAACCGTTGCGGGGTATCATATTCTGAAGGCACTTAAATCCTGAAACCCGGCCCTGAAATATTTAGTGTGGCCATTTTTCCTTCCCCTTCATTGCTTGTCATTTTTCCAGTCTTCTTGGAATCATTCCGGAAAAAAAAATCACTCATAAAACCCAGACACGGCAGTTTTTATTTTCTCTTCCCCACCCCCAAAGCCTGGTGATGGTCAGAGAATGATCCGTGTGAGGAAAAAAAACCCTCATTTTATTCCCCCTCCCCCCTTATGCCTTCCATAAAAGGCTTGTCACTTATAAAGAACAAGGTACTTTTTCTGTAACTTAAAAATTGCAGCTGGTGAACTTTGAATGCGCTGATTTGTTTCCGGGGGTTTTAAAATAAAAATAAGGGTGGTTTTTTAATTTTTATTTTTTTCCCCATTCCCCTGAATTAAAAATGAAGGGTGTGTTTATTGGATGCTAAAGCTGCACATAGCAAATGTACTGTACTTTTATTGCTGGAATTTCTTTAGAATCTGGGTTTTGTTTTATTTTTTTTTGGCTAGGGTGCGGGAAAGGCAGTGCTCACACGTTCCTCGTGGCTATGAGTGCCTGGGGTGGGAACCCCCTATTGCAAACAAGGGCTCTTTTTTAAAAAAAAACAAATAAATGATTTTCAAATCTTCCATAAAAATGACGTGTCTTTTTTTGGGTTAAAAAAAACAACAAAAACCCTACCATCCATCAGTCACCAGTTCGCTGTCTGTGACTAACTTAGTGACGCCAAAGGAAAAGCATTGTGATATATATCTTACAGAAACAGATAATCAGAGTTGGGAAGGGACTTTGTAGATCATCTAGTCCAACCCTCCACCCAAGCAGGAGACCCTACACCATTTCTGCCAGGTGGCAGTCCAGTCTCTTCTTGAAAGCCTCCAGTGATGATGAAGCTCCCACAACTTCGGAGGGCAACTTCTGTTCCACGAGTTGATTGTTCTCACTGTCAGAAAGTTTCTCCTTATTTCCAGGTTGAATCTCTCCTTGATAGTTTCCATCCATTATTCCTTGTCTGGCCTTCAGGTGCCTTGGAGAATAGCTTGACCCCCTTCCTCCTCTCTGTAGCAGCCCCTCAAATATTGGAAGGCTGCTCTCCTGTCTCCCCTGGTCCTTCTCTTCCCTAGACCAGCCAGGCCCAGTTCCTGCAACCGTTCTTCATAGTCTCCAGTCTCCTCATCATCCTGGTTGCTTTTCTCTGTACTTTTTCTAGAGTCTCAACATCTTTTTTATAGTGGTGATCAAAACTGGGTGCCCTACTCTAGGTGTGGCCTTACTAAGGCTTTATTGAGTGGTATTAGTACCTCCCTTGATCTCGATTGTATCCCTCTGTTAATACAACTTAGGATTGCATTAGCTTTTTTGGCTGCTGCTGCACACTGTTGGCTCCTGTTTAGCTGGTTGTCCACTGAGACTCCAAGATCCCTCTCACAGTTCCTGCTAGTGAGAAATCTGGTTTCATCCAGTCTATGTGTGTACTTTTGGTTTTTCTTGCCTAAGTGTAGGACTTTACTTTTCTCTACATTGAATTTCACTTTGTTAAATATGGCCCATATTTAGTATATAATTTAGACCCATGACTTAATCTTCCTACGCCAGTATCGCTCTCCCTTCGCCAGACCACAGAGAATCACATGCTCCCAAATTGCCGTTTTGTGGACTTGAATTTCGGAGGTGTGATCTCTGCAGGGCATGGAACAGCTTCTGTGTAGCGCCTTAACAATGGGAGCGAGTTTGTGCATTTCTGGCTAGGTTTTGACTGCCATGGAGGGAGAGAAGAGAGTTGCCTTTGTGGTTTAACCATGTTTGGTTTTGTTCCTCTTTTGATTCTGGCTTGAAATGCAGCTGTGATTGATGTCAATAGATCACAAGGGCCTGCTGGCATTATTAAAAGTTTCATTTCTGTTCTTCCACCCATTATTTCTGGGAACGGCAGCTCACATCCTTTGGTGCGGCTCTGAGGACTTCTCAGTTTTAGGGAAGGGGAAAACCATATTTACTGTATTTGGCATTGCAGTAAATGAAATTGAATGTAAATGTTCTGACCTAGGCTTCACAAAAATCACAAAGCAGACTCCTTGTCCCGACAAAACCCCTTTTTTATTAGGCTCTTTCAAGGATGAATGACAACCACAGACCTTATCAGGCTTGGAGAGTTGCCAGGCCGATAGCTTCCAAACACCACGCTGTAACAGAAAATACTTGGCAAGGAGTCTCTGAAGTCACAAAACACAAATCTTCATGCT